CTGACATCTTATATGATGAACTTAAGTCAGTTGTGTGATCAAGGTCTGAAGGTAGATTCCTCTGAGGAAGAATGTTTTTATCACTAATGGAAGAGGAATATAAGTCCAAAGTTAATTGTTATTTATGGGTACCACAAGAAACTACTTGCTCATCCACATGGTTAATGTCCAAGGAAGATAAATTCAAGATGTCACACCAGAAATTGCAACATCAAACTATTGACAATGTTCTAGAACTTCCTTTTATGTATCTAATGAGGCTAATGCAAAGTGAAAGTCTTGATGGATAGAGACATGTATTTGTGGTTATTAATGATACTTCAAATATCTGAAGTCTTCAAAGGTCTTTGTCATCTGTTTCAAAGGGAAAGATGGGTTTCCAAAAAGTGAAGGGATGTTTCTGGGTTACTCTAATGATAGCAGTACTTATTGAGATGTTAACTCCAGAACCAAGGTCATTGATTCAATCACTGAGAAATAGACTGATGTCCAAGAAGATTTTGAAACATCATCTTAGCAGATTGAAACTCTAGAAAATGAGGCAGACTGTAAAGAGCTAGCATCAGAGAACTCTCAAGCCAACAAAGTTTTCTCCAAAGTTCAGAAAATTTATAAAAGGGAAATCATTATTTGGAGTTTCTGTTCGCCACTAGATTCAGAGATGAAATATCTAATTCTGGTGAGTTTTGGAGTAAAGCTATTGACACAAAATGAATTTCCAAGAACAAGTCTATTGAATTTTACATTAATGAAGGATGTTTCTTCTTGGGAAACAATCTTTTCTCTTGGATAAGCACTAAGTTAATCTATGTATCCCAATCTTTCTCTAAGTCTAAGTATAATGTTGAAGGAAGTTGTTGCTCTCAATTGATTTGGATGTTAAAAGAATACAATGTCCAACAAGATGTCATGACATTGTATTATGGAAAGTTGGTTTAAGTATAGATATTCAAGGATGTCAGTTTGCATAGCAAGATAAAGCTCATTAATACTGGTCATCTCTTTGTCAAGAGTCTTACTACAAGCAATACCGTTTCTCCTAAGCTTGAGATTTACGAGAATCTTTTGGAAGATATTTTATTTGGACTTGGATGAAAATCACATTAATAATTTGAAGGATGTTTTTGGAAAGTTGCACTCCTGATGAATGAGAGCATTCACATGTTGGGATAAGGTTATCTCTGACAAAGTCAAAGTCAGTTCAAATGGTGTGAGAATCTCCAACAGTCAAAGCTTGGGAAGAGAAAAAGAGGGACAAGAAAGTGTCTCTCTCCTATAGTAAGTGGTGCACTGATAATGAAAATGATTATACATCTTCCAAAAAAATTCTCCTTGAATGGTCAGGAGTTACAAGCAAGGTCCTTCTTATTGTTAAAATAAAAAAACTTATTGCCTCTCCCTTCTTTCAAGTTGCATTTCAACATGAGCCAATCTTCCAAGAATGTTGTTGCTTAAAAAGATGGATTTGCTGGAAGTCAAGTCAGGAAATAAGGAGAAGAGTATTGATCCAAAGAAGATTGAATCCAAGGTGGAAGCATTTGTTGGATCATCTGTTTGGAATCTAAGACAGGAAAGAATTCTGTTACAAAGGTTAAGTCATTCAAGAAAAGTCATGCTCAAGGACATAATTCTGACGCAAATGCTGATAAAGATTGGGTCAGTTTTATTGACTCAGGTGGTTGGTCCTGATAAATGGTTTAAAAGAGGATAATTTCTTTTTTCTATTTGGATTTTTATTAATTTCAACTTTGATTTACTTCCATTAGTTTGTTTTTGTTTCCATATGTTTGTTTCCATTACTAGTGCGTGCTTCCAATTGTGTTTATATTTAATCTATTTTTGTCAATTTTAGGCTAAAAGAAGGGAGTAAAGTATTACTGTTTGTTTGTCATTATGTCATGTAACATGTCTTGACATGTCGACTAACATTGTGATAGGACCATACTAATGTTAGGGAAAGAGTAGTCTATTATGGTTGCTTGTTGTATGCAATTATTTAGGGGGAACATGATTGTTTGTCTTGCTTGATGGTGCTTTTGTTGCTTCTGCTGCTGGTTGGTTATGTGTAATAATGTCAAACCATATATTCTGACATCCTGTCTGATGTGTTTATAGATAATCCTAGTTACTCTTTGATAATTTATTACTCTGGTGCTCTGAGTTATTTGTAAGGCTTCTACTACTTGTGCTTTTAATGTGTGAACTTGGATAATTCAATTTTGATTTTCTTGTGATTTGGGTTTTCCCCTTGAAGTCCAGGTTTGTTTTTCTGGTGATTTGGATTTTCACCTTGAGGGGGAGGATTGATTATGTGTGACAGGGAGAATATTGGTTCTATTTGAACTTGGAGCAGTGTTGTATGATGTCAGACCACATGTCTTGACATCTGCCTTCTGAAGTATTGAAGATGGTGATATGTAATTGCATGTAATCTCTGATATATTTTTATGTTTGCACTTTGTACAAAGTTTACATGTTTTTCATGTAACTTGTGTTTTATGAATATGGTTTTATTCCCCACTCTAGTTTAATTGTGATAAGGTTGTTTTAGCCAAAATTTGTCAAAGGGGGAGATTGTTAGATCCATAGTTTTATGATTGACCTAAATTTTGCTAAAACATGGTTCATAGCATATATTGAAAAAGATGTCATGACATCTTGACTAACTGGTACAATAAAGTCTGTTGTTAGTATTTTTTACAGATGTTCTGACAAATATTTTGACATGTCATATCAGAACATCAGTACAAGCTGTTATTATTCTTGAGAAATTTGATTTGATTCTGTGAGATTCCTTTTGGATATATTACAGTTTTTTTGCACAGATCAAGAAGATTTAATCCGGAACAACTAATTTGATCTCTAACTGCACATACATTTTTAAAATTGGATATTGAGACATTTTAGGAAACTTAATAATTTGTTTCAAGATTTAAGGAGATTTTTCTGCACAATTGGTGCAGCCCTCAGCTTGTGGATCAAGAAATATTTGGGTGAAGATTTTGAACCCCATGGACTTCTGAGGAGTATATAAAGAGAAACCTAAACCTAATGTAATTTGACTTTTAACAATTTTGTAAAAAATAAGGGAAAGTTTAGAGTCTTAGGTTTTAAGAGTCTCTTGTGTGTTTCATGTGTCACCCTTATATCTTTTGATACAGTGAAGTACATTGATTGTTACTTGATTGCATATCAAGTTATTATTCTCACTCTTGAATTTTTTAAGCAAAGAGTTGAGTATTGTTCATTTTTATCAGTAAAAAGCTTTTAAGCAAAATTGAGTATTGCTTATTAGAAGTGTAATCTTCTGTTTTGGTTATTGTCACAGTTTGTGATTGGTTTATCACTGAGGTGATTGTGGAAAGTGAGCGGGAGATCTCATATCTAGAAGATTTCTAGGTAGAATTTGCACAAAGAAGTGATTAGGAGAGAAGTTGTAAACTAGGCTTGTGTAGGCTTTGAACTAATGTTGCCATAGTGAATTTCCTTTCTGGCTTGGTAGTCCTCAGAGTAGGCGACGTTGCATCGAATTAGATTAACAATCAGTTGTGTTATTTATCATTCTGCAATTTATTTTTGCATAAGTTACAGTTTTGATATATTAAGTTATGTCTGTCTGCAAATGTCATGACATTTGTCCTGACATTGTATTCTGATGTTGGGATATCAGTATTAACATATTTTAAAGTTCCAAAATTTCAACTACCTCTACTATTTCTCCAAAGTATTTGAACGTAGACCAACTCCCTTGCACCATAATCATTTGGTATTTCCGTGAAGAAGAATTTTTTATTCTTCACGAAAGCTCAATTCATTACTCCTACTCTCTTCTTAGCATCCCACCGTTGATCATCTCCTTCTGTTTCGAATGATCTTGCTCTTCTTCTCTTCACCTCTGTCCATTCATGATCTCCATACTTCCTTTTTCAAAAATCCATGTCGATTGAGAGATATTACGAATACTAGGGTTTGTTGTTTGGTATGCAGTTTAGAGAGAAGGAAGAGCTTATCTCTCTTTCTAACTCATATTGTTTCAAAAGCATATTGTGACCAAACTTGTGATTGTGAATACATAAACTTGTGATTGTGATTCGAGATGACATATGATGGCTTGATCCTTCCACCAAAGCATCTTTAGGTAACCTATGTAATGCAAGATTAACATTGTGATGAAGGATGACAAGAAAAATAAACCCCCTCGAGAATATATGTAAAACGACTCCAGCCCGCCGAGTATGCCTGTTTTGTCTTTATTTTTTGCGAGATAGATCAAGATTTTAGACTCTTGCCCTCTCATATGTCTTCACGGTCCCGTCCTATTTTTTTGCATGTATTTGTGGTGCGGGCATTAACAAATTTTCTTTTTTTACAACTTTTAACTTTTAGGAGTGCAAAATCCACATGTTCGCCCCACTTTGTTTTATTTTTGGACGGGTCAAGGTTTAGTCCCGCATGCCTGTTCCATCATCATTCTTTTGTGGGACACATCAAAATTTTAGACACGCATCATCAATTATACCTGTTTCATCCCATTAATTTTTTGGACTTTTGTGGGATGAGATGTCTGTTTGCCTCCCCTACTTGTATATATGCGACTTAGGTCATAGTCTTACCAAAATCATTAATTTAACACTAAAACTCCACACCTATTGAAAGATTGGCAATGCAAACTTAACAAAATACAAATTTTTATTCCCTGCACCAGTTGAGTATATACCAGAATGGCTAAAACGAGTTTTATCGTGTTGAGTTTAAACTTTGAACAAGAACTCTAAACAACAATAGTTTAAATAAACAGTGCAATAATAACCCATGACATATTAATTAATTCAAATACATGCTATAGATATGCTTTATTAATCATTCATACATGATTCTTAACATAATAACAACAGGCTAACTAAGCAGGAATTTATTTAATTTAATACAACCACACACAGTGATCATATGTTAGGGTTCATCCTGCCTAGCAAATTAGCCACAACACAAAAAGCACAAGCTTATGCTCTGTATGTCTTCCATTTTTGCAGTCCAAGACCATTTGGCCTGTTCCTTCGTGGGTTATACTGACTGGTTTCAACATCCATGTACTCTTCATAGATCACTTCACCACCATATGGCCTAACCTCAGGTACTCGTTCATACTCCACCACTTCAACCCTCTCGACGACTTCAGGGTTGTGGTGGTGGTGGTGGCGGTGAGATCCTTCGATCTCATCGTAAACAACCCTCTTGTTGAAGGCCATTTCAGCGTTTGGGTAGCGGTCGAACTCAGAGAGAACACTTGGCTCCCTTCTAACTTCAGCAATGTGGTTGTGGTAGTCCTGGGATCTCAACATTCTCTCTTTGTTTGTTTGTTTGGTAGATGAGACTAATATTGCTTGATTACTACCACAACCATGGTGTGTGTATTTATATGATGGCAATGGCATATACTATATGTTATTATCCTCATTTTTATTCGAAGTGATAAAAAAATATTGAATCTTATTCTCTTCATGTATCTGACAGCCACCAATACCTAAAAAGAGGATGCTGTGGTGTGGTGTGGTGTGGGAGGAAAAGGTTGATGTGTATAAGACAATGCAGTTCATTGTTCTTGGCAAGTTTTATAGCCAAATTGCGTACGTCAATCGTTTCAATAGAAGAATAAATTTAAGAAGCAACTGACATAAGAATTTTGGTATTAGAAAGCATATAGACTGAATTATTTGAGAGCATATAAGAGAAAACTGATCTTACTTTATTCTCTAAAAACATCAATTCACGAAATTCTTTCGAAATGCTACACGTATTGGTTGGGACAAAAATCACTAGGCCTTCTAGAATATGGAATTCTGGCCATCTTCATGAACGCATCATGAAAACTATTATATTTAATATGTTTATATATGCAAATCTAGCATTTTTTGGTTTAGTTTTTTTTTTTTTTAAATATTTTTTATTTGATTTTGAATTTTAGAAATACTTTTTATTTTTTTATTTTTTTTTTCTTATTGATTTTTTAGTTATTGCATAATGAATTTATATTGAAATTGATCTTCTTAATATATAGAATATTTGATTTTAATAACTACAATATTAATGATATAAGAATTGAAATAAAATATTAGATTAATTATAATATAAATTAATTTTGCAATGACTATAACAAATTAATAAAAAAAGTATAAAAAAATTTACTAGAACATAAATCTAACCAAAAAAATCACGATGACTAAAAAAATATATATTTATAGAGACTGATAGGTATGTGATTTTATGATTGACAACAATTTTAGTAAAACATGTTTTATTTGGAAAAATATGTATCACATTTTGATGTCAAGCAAGATGTCATGACATCTTGACCAATTGTCATGACAGGTTATGCTGTCATGAATCTCAGACAGATGTTGAGTCAGATGTCTTGACATCTTGACCAACTGTACAGAAAGTGCTGCTGTTATTTTCTTGACAAATTTGATTTGTTTTTGTGAGATTCTCTTGGATATATCTCCCTTATTTTCGTAGGTCAATACGACTTTATTAGGAACAATGTAGATTTGATTTGGTTTCATAAAAAAGAACTTGTAGACTTTTTAGGAAACTTTGAAGATTTGTTCCTATTTTTGTGGAGAAGATCTTGCAGCCGATTTACAATTATAAGATTGGATTTGATTAAAGAGTCCAAGCTCATACTACAAGAGTGTCTATATAAGGACTTACCAAATCTAAAATTAGCAAGAATTAACAACAAGAAACCGTGTGTGGTTGAAATAAGGATTTAGGGTTTTGAGAGTACTTTAAGTGCTTTATTTGTTTTTGTATGTCACCCTGTGATACGGTGGGAGAACTGACTTGAGATATTTTGCGTTTGATTGCAAATGTTGCGGTTAGCAAGAGTCGCCACCGACTTTTCTTTTATCCAAAAGGAAAGGCTGAAAAGAACAGGAAAAACCTTTGAGATTATTTCTTGAGTTCGGGGGGTAGATTATAAAAAGGGAAGGTGTTAGCACCCTTTTCATCTATAGTTATCTATGGACTCTTAGTTGGTTGCTAGATCACTTGCTTTTGTTTGAAAGTATGCTTTGTGGTGGTTTTTGAAAAGGCGCCTTCGTTTAGACATATTTTGTAATAACTCTCGTTCGTAAGAACGTATACAAAGTGTTTAGCTTTTGAAAATATTTTATGTTTGGAAAGTGTTTGGTGTTTGTTTTGAAAATAAGCAAGGATGTTTGATTTGAAAATGAGCAAGCAACTAGGAACAATCTGCGTACTCAAAAGTCTTTGTTCATTTCTTCCTTTCCTTTGATATTGCTATCTTACCATTGATTTGGTAAGAAGCCTTATCTTTGGATATAAAGGGACGGACGTGGGTCATCGTATAGTCATGATAGCAATGTTTTGAGATATCTTAGCATTTCTCTTTCAGGGACTAAGATCATTTTGAAAGGCAACATTTATAGAGTCATCGAGGAACTATGATCTTGTATTTTTGATTTATTTTTGCTAAGACATCCCACATGCATAACATGACCATTTTTGTAAGGTAACAAAGTGGAATTACCCTAAGGGTGCAAGTGTGCAAATGTGTTTGATTTACATGCATTGTTTATCTTGAATTAGGGTTTGCTAATTATTGATTTTAGTCTTGCCATACAAACCCTAATTACTAACATTTATATTAAAGTTATAAATTGTGGAAAATAAAATTACTATGCTATTACATCATTAGGGGAGGGGGTATACAAATTTGTAAATGGGGATTGTAAGAAAATTAAACCTAATTATCTATGACAACCATATTGAATAATGTACAAGAATTGAAAATATAATGTACAAATGTAAATGGAAAAAGAAATGTTTTTTTTTATTTTTGTTAAGGGTTTTAAACTAATTACTAAAAAGGAAAAAAAATAATTAAAGACAAATAAAATTAAACCTAAATTAATTAAGAAAAGAAATTAGGTTAAAAAGTGTTTTTTAGGGTTTTTTGTGAAAGGTTTTAAGTTTAATAAAATAAAATATGAAAATTAATTAATTAAAAGAAACCTAAATTCTAAATTAATTTTAGATAAAAGAGAAAAATAATAATTAAACGTAAACATAAATATTAATTATTTAAGAAAAAAAACTAATTTATTAAGAAAATGTTTTTGTCCTTTTTGTTTTATAAAGAAAATAAAATAAATAAGTGTGAAAATAATAAATAAAAATATTTTTGGATTTTTTATTAATAAAAATAATAATAATAATATTAATAGTAATAAAAATATAATAAATAAAAATTAAACAAAATAAAATAAAAAAAGAAAATGAAATGATAAAAATAATTGGGTCAGGTGTGCAAAAGTAAAGACAGGGGTTAGAAGAAGCAAAAAGACAAGGCCCACTGTTTGGAGGCTCATGCGCTAGCAGCTTGTGACAAAAAAGAGAAAAAAAAATGAAAAATAAGAAAAGTGGCAGCGCTGGGGCTTGAACACACGCCCTGAGCATGAAATGCGCGCCGCCTTACCACTAGGGTGACTATACATCCGTTAACATAAGTGAAATAATAAATACATAACATAAGTCATGTCCTGAATATGACTTCATCTTCAACCTCTAGCCTGAACATCTGCAACTTCATCATTTCTCATCGATTTGCAAAAATGTAAACATCAAACTTGTTCCAAATTTCACAACGATTCCAGAAATGTAAATTACTAAAACTATAAATCAAAGATGAGCATGAATTTTGAATGGTACCAAATTCTGACCTAACTTTTTCAGAAAGTTCAAACTTAAAATTCTCACTACTCAAGCAATATAAATGAAATCTATGGACATGTACAGTTTCAGGGCAATGATGTCTATATTTTATCTTCACAAATGCAAGCCTAACAATGCCTAAATGAAAAGATAGAAGTTCGGAAAATGTACCTCAAAACTGGAAATCGTGAAATGCAAATGAGCTTGATTCAAGGTGCTGCAATGATCAGGTTAGCTTCCTCAAGTTCCCAGGAAGCTAATGTAATGATTAGCTTGAGCAATGGATGGCTGGAATGGCCTAGAGAATTCAACTTGCAGTGCTCTATTTTTGAGTTTGAAAGATGATGAAGATGGAGTTACAATTATGAAATAGGGTCAGGGATGGACTATGCTTGATGTATAGGAGCTTTGTGATTAATTAGGAAGGAAAACGCACGAGGGAATTGTGAGTTTCAAGTTCAAAGTCAGAATTTTTGCATCAATGGAGTTTTTGGATAATTTCTGGCTTGAGGGAGTTTGAGAGAGTTTCAGGGTACTTAAGCTCGTGTGTTAACTTGCAAATAGGGCCTCTATTTATAAGCAACAAGTTTGGATGCTTGGAGAAGTCAGAAATCAAGAATCACATGTTTGTGGCTTTTTGCTTGATTTTGAAGAAAGCTTGAGAAATATGGTTCCAATGCACAAGTACCTGGCTCATAGGGTGGCTTAGAAGCTTTAAAAATGTTGCTTCTGAGCATACATGCTATGTGTGTTCAGAACAACAAGTTAGAGTCTCAAGAAGAGTGGACTTTGTGCATAAAGCCACTTTTCCAAAATGGCAATGTTGCCTTTCTTCCTAAAATGGTATTAAGCATGGGCAATGCATTGAATGCCTGGATTAAAGCTTCTAACAACTGTGTAAAACATTATTTATGGAGTGGAAAACAAGTTTGAAGCCTGCAAAGCAAAGATTATGCAGCCTAGCATGTATTTGGTTCATGTGTTCATCAAGAAATGGCTTGTAATTCAAGAATGAAACCCTAACTTCTTGCCTTCGATTCTCCTTCCTCAAGTATGATCTCAATGAGTTCTTGGACATTTTGGAAATCTTTTAACATCTTTCACAACCTCTTTGTTTGACATTTTTTAAGATTCATCTTGGAACTATGTGAAAAATTGCCATGAAGTTTGGTCAAAATCCTGCCTAAATTAGGGCAAAATTTCACAAAGTTTTCAAGTTTCATGAACATGTCTTCAAAAAATTATAACTTGAAATCTAAGCATTTATAGAAAAAGTTATGCTCTACAATGTTTTATATATCATTGAGATCTACAACTTTCATATTGGAAGTTTCCTTTGAATCATCTTGCATCATGGTATAAATTGGCTCAAAATTATGAAAAAAAGTGAGTTTCCAACACTTAGAAAAAATTCTAAGTTTAGAAATTTTGACTTTTCGAAACGAAATCTTGACTTTTGATTTCTTGATGAAAAAGTTTCATATTTTGACACGTCTTGATGAATTGTGATATTTGATACTTGATTTTGATCAAAAAGTCAAAGTTTGACTTTTCAGTGCACAATTGACTTTTCATTAGTTGACTGAAATTCAACTATCAATCAAAT